GTCGAATATTATAAGTACTAAAAAGTCAATTTTTCTACGAAAGAATGTAATGCCTTTTGCATTTCATTTTGAAATTATCGGAAAGGTTAATTTGAAAAAGTGATAGAATAATTGCAATTACTTCACCGCATTTACTAAGTCTCATAGGTTTCTGATAGCAATGCTGAGGATGTTGCTTGAGCACTCCAAAAGGTTGAAAGTTACTTTGTGATCGGTTTTGAGAAGAACCCTTATCTTCCTTTGAATTTCAGACATTCTTAATTCTTAAATGTTTGCTATAACAGCGGGACTCTCACTGGTTGGTTAGCGTTGTGATTCGTTGATCCTGTGATGGCGAGGGACTAGGAGTGGGCACAAGACAACTCACGAAAAACTAATCTGCAGCTCTTGCGATCGTATGTGATCGCTTCCTTCAATGCTGTTAAAGTAGTCTTTTCTTTTACTGCTTATTGTTCTGATCATGTACATGAGAATACAATAATAGGGATTTAGGAACATTTTATGTATAACTGTCTGCGCTTTTGCTAAACACTCTTCCAATTGTTCTTCTACTATATTACAACGCATAGGCTGTACTTCTTGTTATTTAGCGCTTTGCTGAATGCTCAGCTGACTATCACTCAAAATGCTAATGGCGAAATTGTCAGACTTGACGCATGTCACCACTTCCTCATCGTTTAGTCACCGCTAAGATGATTATCTAGTAAGCCTATCGGACGTTGCTATTTCAAAGTCAAAGAGTATTTGCGTGTCGAAATCGAAAGCTAGTCATTAAGCTACTCAACATCTCTGTGAGTAGGCTTGATCAGTTTAACGCTTGCATAAGGTCTCTATGAGATTGGAAGAAGATCTACTGAAGTGCAGAGTGTACCAAGATTATTTGCGTCAAATTATCTGATGCAGTGCCGCAACCGTGCCGCGACCCATTCTCGGTTCCCCACTCCCCCCCCCCCTCCCTCAGTACGCCACTGCATTTAGGTAAAAAAAAACCAAAAAACGAAATCAAGCTTAATCCCTTTCTACTCCTCCCATTTAACACTTAATATTAGAAATAACACGCGCCATTAATTTTGTCGCACACTGTACTTTTAGATTCCGTAGATGAAACAAGCATTTTCATTTATATGCAAAATATGCGTTTGTTTTCTGAGTGGGCAGCCTTAAATTTGAGTGATCAAACATACCTTGATGTATGCTTCCATTCCGAAAACGGCGCTATACCATCAGCTGTGAAATCAGGTTGAATCACCGAAAAGACGCTACTAGAGCAATTTTTGCAAATTTCGATAATCTAGTTTGCGAAGTGAGATTGAGTCGTGATTTTGTTTGAACATGAAGGAACACTAACATTAACCGGGATTCTTGATTCATGTAATATTTAGCTTAAATAGACGAAACTATTGCAGTTACTCGTTTGTGTGCATGTTAGTTCAATTTGAGATGAGGATCTCTGAATGGATAACATTTAAACCACTGATGAAAGCTGATTATGCCCGAAAGTAATTCCCATACATTGATTGTCCATAAAATCATTCTACCAAATTATTGCTATAGCTTACTTTTGTGTAACAATTGTGTTGTATGATTTTTTACTTATTGTATGAATTATTTAAGTTATTTTTCATCTTCATTCATTACATACCTCCCATACCATAGATCTTTCATGAACTTGTGTTATATGGCATTGTCTCGTTCTAATCTCGAAACCTTAATTGGGAAACCATAGCACCGACGTCTTTGCTCGTCTACTTTACACGCAATTGCTAAAGCAGACTTTCGCTCAATTGCTCGTTGCCCAAGCTTACTGCTCGGTTGAAATTTTGAAAATTTTCTTGAACAGATCTTTTTGTTCAAATATAGTATAAATAATGTTATTCCCACATAATAAATGTATTTTCGATGTTTATTACCACAAAACAATAACAAAAACCCTTAAAGAAACTTCTCGAACGCTATTATCTGCCAAAAAAGAAAAGTCTTTGACTAAGTGCAACGCCATTTTGCTAATACCATCGGATCTCATATATAAACAGGGGATAAGGTGCATCAGCTAGATACCTATAAGCTTTCCTAGCATAAATTTCCAATTTTTTCTAATATTTTGATTTGGTGGAAACCAACTTTTGTAAAGAATTTGTTGATTTTAACAAGGAACACTTTGTGTAAAAGTTGTAGCTTACAAGAGTTTGTAAAATCAGAAACTCTTTTTTTCACATTTCATTCAAGATCTTACATGCTGTCTGTTTTGTTTGATAAATGAGTTTTTTACATTGAAAACTTTACATAATAACCTGTTAATGAAGATTTCCATTACCACCAATGCTCCTTACTTCCATATTTCCAAACCAACATAATATTGCTTTGGAAAAAAAAGAATGTCGTTTTTTATAACAAAGCAATAAGATAGATCCAAAATATTTGAAGAGCACCATTCGATAGAGCAATTAAGCTTTACAAGAAGACCTTCAAACACTGCCCGAAATCGTGACTTACCCAATGTTTGGAGCCAAAGCATAAGATCAGCTCATGATGCCGAAAATCGGATGTGCGCTTCAAAAAATCCTACAATCCCACATGCTTCTTCTTGTAATTGACACACACATTTATCCATAGAGACACTAAACTTGCTATAATTTTTTTTCATGTTTAGAAACCAAGAAGAAACTGAGAAACGGAAAATGGCAAACTCCGCCCCAGTGGTCCTGAGGTTCTTCCGTTGTATACTAAAATCTTCGAAATTTTGACCATAAATTTTTGCCTTGGATATGACTAGTTTCTAAGAAATATCAATTTTAGCGGAAAAAAATCGAAAAAGCGACATTCTTTTTTCCTAACCTGATAGTAAGCTCATTTCACTCCGCAGCAGTCATGCCTCTCCATTTCTAGAAAGCTTAGAAATGTTGACAATTCTGAAAACAAAAGGTCGTCATTAGAATCCAGCTCAAGAGTCGGCCGGATTAGCTCTGTCTATACTCTAAGTGGGCCCTGAGAGGGTTTTGTCAGTAGTCTTTGATGATTTGGCTTTGATCTTTACCTGGAATCTGCTTCATCAGCGAACAATCAAAAATCATTCAAGCATATGTTCGAAAAGAAAACAGGCTTGAGACATCCTTATTAATACTGCCGTTTTTTGATGTCGCATCGTCATTTCTAGACTTTAACGATGTTGAGAAAGGAGTATGAAGCTCTGTAATGAATCCCTTCCGGGTCTACAAGTCTGCATATTTCATCAATGTGCCACTCGCAGCGCCCCTTGCCCATTCTCGCCTACATGATTACGTAATTAGTAGGCCGAAATACCTTTCTCCCTCTTCTATGTGTGCAGAAAAAGACAGATAGCAATCCTTTTTGGATATGAGGCTCTATTATTATACTTCGATCCATATCTTAGCCCAAAATCTTACAAATGCCTGGAAATTCGTGTATTGTTAGTCTTACTTCTATTGTTTTCTGCCGGAATTAATTTAGTGATTACGTACAAAATTTGATTACTTCAAATGGTGCAAAAAGCATTGCGTTGGATTGGTCCTTATAAATGTCTGAGTGAAAAAAATACCTAGCTATCTCAGAGCTCTTATTGTTGGAATCAGTAACACAGCATAACTTACATGTCCCCATACTGATCTACCCTCAAAGGAGTTCAGTGAAACGTAAAAAGCAATGTAAATAAGGCTGACACGAAAGTTCTACCGCGCCATTTTCAAAAATAATCTCTGATATTTCCAACGAATATGCTTGCTTCCACTTTTGTTGAAGGACTAGTCAAGCTCTTTGTACTTGGTGTCTTAGCGGCACTAATGGCCATACGCTTCACAAAGAAAATTACTCAAATTTCGATTTTCCTGAGTTTGGTCGTAAAAAATCGAAACTCCTGCAATAAAAATCGTAGCAGTCGTTATAGGTTCGATTACTCACCCTTCCTAACTAGGCAAAGCTGCTGATTAAACGCTTCTATAAAAAGTCATGATTGTTGAGCAATCAATACAAACCGGCAAATTCAATTTTTTTGGCCTTCTTACTACAAAACTCAGAAAAATAATTTTAATTTTCTTTTACCGCTTTTATCTGTGCAATGTATGATCATTAGTAAGCCGCTAAGAAATCAATATAAAGAGTCTGACTTATTCTTTTAGAGAAAAATAAAAACGAGCAGTTTGGTTGGAAAAATCAGAGGTTTCAAATTTTACATGGCGCGACAGAACTTTCGTGCCAATCTAATATTTCAAGTCAAAACTCGCGCATTTTTACCTCCATACCTCATTCTGGTTTATGGAGGAATGTGAGCTGGAATAAAAAATTTACAACAACATTATTTCGACATAAATAATTCCCCTTTTTGTGGTACGGCAATCAATCAAGAGCTTATCACTGAGCAGGAGTAAGTGCAAAAAGAATATTACTGCGCACAAAAAGCAATGCTAAAAGGTATTGTAGCTACCGTAGCATTCTGAGTCACTATGGAGAAATAATTGACCCAGTACAAATCTTGCATAGCCTTCATACAAGTCATCAAAGTATTCTCTAGCTTAGTCAGGAACGCAAAACATCCAAGTTGGCTTAGCACCATCCGCATCAGCTTATCATCTATTGCGCATTTTTCCACACAATTCTTTTGACGTCACTGAGCCGCCTTTACGGAAATGATCCGCTTCCGCCCTCTTCTCACACACACTCTCACACACTCATCCAATCACATGAATACACTTATGCGCTATGCTTTGCATATAGCGCTACTTGTTATCCGGTGCCGCGGAGCTCACGGTTTGCTAGTGGATTTGTTGATTGTTTTGTATGATTCAGCGGGAGGACGTTTCCTCGACTTCAACCGGCTTTCCTAGTCAGCGCTGAGCCAGTCTTATTGGCTCAGCGGGTCTTGAGAAATTTATCTCGTAAACAGTTGTATTGCTGCTCTAGATTGTGGCAGCCTTGTTCAATCGCATATTCTGCTGTGAAAATGACAGCTTTTTATTGTCTTATTTCCAGGTTATGCTCTATTGAGTATGCGAATTTTATCCGCATTCTTTACCGTACTCTTCACCTTCATCAATCCTTGCATGATGTACAAAGGTAAGCGAAAAGCTTTCTTGGCAACATAATTTTGTTCTTTTCATCCGATATATGCTCAAATGTGTGAATAAAAAAAATCATTATACACCACATGTTGTGAATGAAAAACGTGAACAATTTTGACTCCATACTTGTCGCTTACGCTTGTTTACAATCAAATCATTTTCAAACTTAATATGTGAGCTTGAACAACCTGCAGGTCATTCCACGACCGAAACCCATTACGGCATAATAACTCTAATTCAGCAATATAAAAATCAATAATACACTACTAAAATGTCGCCGGATTTTGTATCTTTTTAGCAGTTATATTCTGAATTCTCATTTGTTTCATTATGGAACAAACTGTCAAGAATGATTACTTCCATCTCTTGGCATCCCATTGTGCTTGAGACGGCGAGAAAAAAGTAGAAGCTGCTAGAAATCTATGATTTGCAGACCCAGAAGTCGTAGTATGCCGCGCATGTTGTGCATGTACACCTATTATTCAACAAATGCAAATGTTGATACTTATCGTTCGTACTGAACTTCCACTCCAGTCGAGAACGCTGCGCGCACAGTGTTTAAACAAGCTCAAACATGTTCTCCCGCAACTTCTAAGTAGTAAATCGTCCAGAACGTGTCAAATCACAAGTAGAAACATGTTGCTCAGAAGTACGCAAGCGTTCTCGGGTATCCTAGTCTCAAAATGGTCAATATGGAGTAAAACCGACACAGCTTGATTTTTGTGGGAATTTCTGACTTCATAACTTCCTCATTTAACCTGATTTCAGTAGTCACAGAATTGGAAGCATGTTTTTCGCATCATCTACCCGAACGATTACGAATACGAGTAATCGAAGCCGTCTGCAATTACGTCTTTACCAACAATCTCAGTGCACGAATACGTCTGGCTGTATACGTAACAGGTAAGAATAAATCAAGTAAACTTTCTATATCAAGTGTTTTGCAAGCTATCCTAATTGCTTCGACCCACGTCAGTTGAGATGGCTAATATGGCTTTGATTGCATTCATAGTCAGCTATCATGGGGTACATTAGCGCTAGCGCCGCAGATATGGGTACTGAGTGTCCGAGATTGACGTAATTCGGTTGAGAGTATTCTCGGAGACGTCATTAGCAGATATCTCATTCATTTGCAATGCGAGATTGACTCACATGATTTAGCACTTCATTTCCCCGTGTATTACTAGCTTTTTTGTGCATCAAAGTGAAGCATTCGAACGAGAAAATCATGCAAATGCCGCGGATTAGACAACTATGAGTAAAATATGTCATCTTCAAAAACATACTTTGATTTCTTGGTTATTCAGCTCTAGACTTGGAATCATACCTTAACCTTTTTCTTCCTTATAGAAAGGTTGATACCTATTTGTCAAAACCTTCTGCCGAACAGATAAAGTTTGTGCCAATAAACCGAAGGCAAATAAATGCTCGGATTTGGCCTGTTTAGCCTTTGATTCAACTGGCTTGGCGGCTGGGAGGCGGGGCTTCGTAACCTAATTAAGGCTAGATAATGGTCAGAGAGCACGCGCGCGGGAGAAAGCAGAGGTTGAGTCGCGGGCGAGCGGCCTTACTTAGGTCACAAACCCCGCCTTCCAGCCGCCAAGGCAATTGAATCAAAGGTTACACTGAGTAGAATGGAGTTATCTTTAGGCAAAAAAGAAATCTGCGTAAGGGTGCTGGGAAGTTTTTGCTTGAAACTCTTGTCCATCCAAGTTTCTATCAAGCGGATGGCTTCTAAATTGTCTCACAAGCTCTTCCACCTTACGAAAAGACATTTTCAACCGGAAATTTAGGCCCTAGGTACCATTCGATAAAACAAGGCGAGCTTTCCCATATGGTTTTCAAATATACACGCAGTTTCTGATCCAGACGAAGCTGCCAAAGTATAAACATTTCTGAGCGTCCAAAAACTCATTTGTCTCCCCACCCCTCCCTCGAAATACCTACACTTACTCACTCTTTATACTAGACCTTTTATGTGCAACTGCTGTATTTTTCACACGACTAGAATTCGAGAATCTTGGCGTGCTTTTGTTAAAGCAACGCCAGTTTTCCCATGCATGTAATTTTGTAATAAAAACTTGTAAAGTACTACTGGAATGGAACCTGGAAGTAAAACTGGAAGTGAAGTTTTGGAAGCGAACTTTCGGGTTCTTGCAGCCGTATCCTTCGAAGAGTGTCACATAGGATTCGCGAAAAAAGCAATATTTTTGTATTTCTGGCTTATTTTTGTTCATTACTATGGAAATAATAACAAACGCATGTATGAATTTTTTTATCCAATTCGTGTTTTCTCTGAGAAAATTGCATTTTTGTTCTTGTTTTAAAGGGACGCAAAACTTTGGAAAATGTCGATTGGTTTTTTTTTTTCACAAAGTGAAGGTTTGCTCGATAAAAACTGTCTATACCTCATGGGCAAATTATTTCTATCATGGAGAACAACAAAGTATGCATACAATTTTTTTTCAAAAAATTCATTTTTCTGTGGGAAAATTGCATTTTTGATCTCGCTTTGCAAATACGCAAAAACTTTGAAAAATTTTGTTTTTTTTTCTCAATGTGAAGGTTTGCCGGATAAAAATTGTCTATACATTATAAAACAAATGAATAAAAAAGCAAGAAATAATTTCCTTCAAATATCATTCAAGCTTTTCCAGTGATTCTCTTCACGTTGATACATCTGATGCTAACTTGTTTGTCTCTCTATGGAACCTATTCCTGCCGACCAAGCTTCATTCGACCGTTTTTGTTCGATGCTGTGTTCAGCACGGTAAGTGCCCACTTTTCACGATGTTGATGTATGTGATAAGTTAAAAAGTCGACTAATCTTCCGTTTTCCAGGTGCTTCTCTTATTATTCGTTGCTTTCTCGGTTCTTATATATGTACAATTAACTTCAAGCGAAGACCTTGAAAATAGAGAAGATGCGATGAAAGTTCATTTGAGGTAAATCTTTTCAAAAATCTATTCGCTTGGACAAATCCGATTATAATGTCTGATGAAGTACTTCGTCGAAATCCAGCCGAGGTATAGAATAACAAACAGTAGAAGACGAGTGAAGTAGTCTTTGGTGGCTGCTAACTACGTCACTAGACATTATAATCGGATTTGTTCATCTGCGAAAAGTTGATGAGCTCTGACAATCTTAGGTTCATACGTAATAACTCGAAATTAGGAAAAGAGACAGGGCCCGGCAGGAGCTGGCACAAGTAAAATCTCAAAATGGAGTCCCCTTTGAGTTTCCCAAAGTTTTACGAATTGAAAACTCTAGAAAAAAAACGAAACGTGACTAAAAACGGCCGCAATTTTCGTGTTTTTTCGGCCACAAAAACTATATAACCTTTGCTTTTTGTCCCAAAACGATATTTAACTTGTCCCAGTACCAGCTGGGGCGAGTCCCGAAGAGATGTCTGGGGAAGAAAATAACAGAGAGCATAGTTTTTTGAGTCTAATAAAGTTTGGATTTCTTAAACTATGAAGCTAAATTGGTCACAATTTCAATGCCAAAGATTTAAATATCAGTTAGAAGTTTCCATACATCCGTTGCTTCTCCGAAAACTCTTCATCCATTAATTTTCAGGAATGTCTATGTTGGAGCAGCTTTTCTACTCTCTTACCTAGTATGGATGATAATTACGATAATTGCTTACATCGACACGAAAAAATTACATGCAGACTTCATGTACTGGATCGTTGAAGAGCGTGTTAGCATGAAATCAAAAGCTAATGTCTCGTCGGATTTGAGGTAAGCTTCACAGATGTTTTTTGCTCAGATAAAATTGGATTTTTTTTTCTCGAAAGAAGTGAACGTATTACCCAAATTTCTGGATAAGCAAGATATAAAAATTTGTGATTTAGATCTGACCGATCATCAAAAGGTTCGCGAGCTTCAAGAGCTAGCCATGCTAGTCATGCTAGTCGTACTAGCCATACATCGAACCGTAGCACTCGGTCCGAATTACCTAGGATGAACTCAGTGCAAACTGCTGGTGTGCGCACTAGTGCATCGCTGTTGAATACTACCTTATCAGTTCCTTTGTGAGGAAAATTGGGTGCTATAACTACTTTCAGGATCGATTAGGCATTAGGTAACAAATTGTCAATATCTTGCCGTAGTATTGCCAGATTTTGTAAATAGATGTTTTTAACGATGTATGTTTCTGATATCATTGTGTTTGAGTCGGCTGACTATATGCTACCGTAAACTATCGTAACACTTTTGGCTGAAGCGAGACCGACAGAAAGTCACCACGGTCCAAACTCGCGGCGTAGGTTTGGCGCGCTGCCAGCACTTACACAATCATTTGTTTAGATTTATATGTGGTCCTGGGAAGAAGTCGATTTCTGCATTGAGTCCCTGCGAGTGTTGGCGGCGTGCGAGCGTTGTCGTTGCCGTAGAGTTTTCTTGAATTAGTTTTTAGGAACCATAGTGTGAGGTTAAGGTTACAGTAGCATATGTGTGACAGACGTACCCATTACCAATTGACATGACCAACTTAGCCCTCTTGCTTCCTTCAAAACCTGTGCCAATTACGATCTCCAAAATCCCGAATTTTCCGTCCTATGTGTAATTATAAGGATCTCATACAATGAGAATCTGTTCATGTGATCTCAGATTTGCTCACGATTTATATGTATTTCACTGTTAACAATGTTCATATTATATTTATATCGTATAAAGGATGTTCATGCTTTGTAATTTTTCCCACACCTTATACATATGTTGCCGCGGCAGATGTCGCTCATTATGGCGCGGTTTCTGTGATGTCTCATGTTTTCTAAAGCACTTCCCTGATTTCTATACTTAAGTAGCCTAAGTTTGTGTGTCAATAACCAAAGGCGAACGTTCGCTTCTGTCATGGCATCCCTACATTTGTTCAGAAGTGCGGAAAGTTCTCGAATATGGCTTAGTACACAATCTGCTGTCGTAAAAAAGCTTTTAATGTAACAGGTCTGAATGTTTTAGCGAGCGTGATAGGGTCTACCCCAATATCGACATGTGACTGCTAAATAAGAAGTAGGAAGAGCTTTGAGAGATTTACAAGCAAAGTAGATTTGAAATCCCGGCTTGTAGTCCATAACAAATATCAATTAAGTTACGTAGACATGGCGCAATAATAAAGGAAGGAGTGTGTGAGGAAGCAAAAGGGATCGATTGCTCTAGTATCTGTAAGAATATAATGTTTTCAAATAAAACATACAACGCACTTGAAAATACATTGTTACGTGCATTCGCAGAAGAGTTTTGAGAAAGGGTTCACATGTTTTGTTACAGGTTATCTCATGACCATACTTTTTATTGTTTATTATTCTATTAAGATTTTTCCCTTACAAGCTCCTTCTTCCTGCTTGGTATATGGTAATGAAAAGGAGGTACTGGCAGCACTCGAAGAAAAGGCACCTTTCGTAACATTCAAAAAAATCGATCACCCGTTTTGAATTTCTCAATCATTCCTTTCCCGCTCGACCAAAACCTAATTAATTTGTCTACACGGCTGATTTAGGGAACATTGATTACTTTTTTCCATGTGTCTTATAACTGCCTCAGATAAGGGAAAATCTTAATTACCGTACTTCTCCCTCTGAAGAAATACTGGATACTACTGGTTACTTTGTCCAACGAAGAGAATCTAGTCCAATTCGACTGTGTGGCTTCGTTTTCTGATGTCTTTCTGGGCATCATATAAACAAGCCAACGAAAAATCGAAAATATGACATAAGATTTTCAAACAGCTCTCGAAAAACAATGAATGATTTTGATGAGCATGTGACTATCAATGAAATGAAAAGTTCAATCGGTTGCGTTCCGGTAATAAACATCTTGGTGTACTATTGTGCCAACGGGTGGACTTTTGAGAGTTCACGATGGTGAATGCACGAGAATTATAAGGAAGTTCGGCTTCTCTGTTCGGAACCATTCCTGTACAAAAGACTATTTGCCATGCCAAATATGGTTCAAATTCTATCCAGAGAAAGTGCCAGCAAATGCTAGGCGTAAAGAAAAACAAATGTTGTTTGACTGTTCCACGCGATTTGTTCAGACATCTCCAGGGACTACAGTCTAGTAAATTTTTCTCTCACATTGTCAATATACTTGTTTGCGTGCCGAGATTTCGCGTCAATATTGGATTGTTTCAAAAGTCCTACACGTTTTTTGACCTCTTTCTGAATTGCTACAATACCGCTCACATTTTTAAAAAAAAAGACGCGAATGTATGGACATGTATGGACATGTACGGACATGTCCATACATGTATGGACATGTCCGTACATGTATGGACATGTCCGTACATGTCCGTACATGTCCATACATGTATGGACATGTCCATACATGTATGGACATGTCCGTACATGTCCGTTGTCCGTACATCAGCGTCGCGTGGCCATATCTCGCTTCATAGTGGCGAATTCTGAATCCGAGGCCACCGTTCGATTCAGCTCGGCGCGGAGAATCTTCTGATATATTGGAAGTGGGGGTACGATGTTTTCGATATTCCGTTTCCAGTTTTTTCAATTTGTTCTGCGGAGGTCCTTTCGCGAATATGTGAAGCAACGCCTACCTAACATAGAAAACGTTACTAAGTACTATTCGATAATACTGTTCTTGTAAATTATTGTGCGCTAAAAAATAGGCTCAGACTTCTTTCCAAAGGAGGTGAAAGCGTTGGTGAATTTTGGAAAAATCACGCGTTTCTAAATTCTACTCGCCATAACTTCCTTCGGAATAAGTATATTTTGAATCCGAAAACTGCGCCTTGCTCAGCTCATCAAGTCGAATCTTCCTATGTACAGCATGTCCTTGGTATTTCGATTTCAGTATTCTTGAATCTTTCTGAGGACGTCTTTTCGCGAAGGTGTAATGCAGCGAACATTGTCCCGAGTACATTTCAGCAAGGATCTTTCGATAGCACTTTTTTTGTAGATTATGATGTGCTAAATAGTAGTCGCAGGTTTCTTTTCAAAGGAAATAGAAGGGCTGGTGAATAGTGGAAAAATCTTGTCGTCTCAAATTCTACTCGCCATATCAGCAGGATACGAAGCTATCTTGCTAAGCAGACGTGAGTTTCGAAATCAGCAGGTCGCATAACCTCTACGAGCAAGTTTTCCGATATGTTCGGGTCATTTCGTTTTTTCTCGCTTTACGCTCCGGAAGCGCGCCGATGGATTTTGGTCAAAATGTTGATGCTCTTGAATTGTAAGGAAACTTCGCTTATAGAGGTTTTCGAACACACTCTTTACGAAAATCGTGGTCTTTGAGGATTACAGGGTCTTTTTGGAGAGATATGGTGAGGTGACTGTAACTTCATCACGAAAGTACGTAACTTTGGCCGCACTTCTCGCGTATCTGTCAGAAACCTTGCCTGCTTGCTTTTCTCATTCAAAGTTACTAGGAAGTGTGCTATCGAATGGTGTATTACTCAGGCTCCAGTCTGTGAAATTCGCCGAGTTACGAGCCTACAAATACAAGTCCTCATGAATTTTGCCCAAATTGTAAAGATCGCATATCTCGTCGAAATTCCTCCAGCTTGTATTAGGTCATTCGGAAAGTTTTTTCGTTTTTGCACCTCCAAATTCAAACGAGCACAATTTTTCCCTGATTCGGCCTTTTTCCATCAAATAAACTGCATTGTGTTCAGCAAATTTCTGGTTACACTCTTATAGTGCTCTTGTGCTTTTCTCTTGCGGAATGATCTCAGAGGAATCACTAAAGCCTGAAAAGGCGTTTTTGATTAGTCAATCTCTATTAGGTCCTACTATTTTTTAATAGGCACCGAGGAATTGGAAAATTCGGTGACTGGTAAAGGAAGGTCTAAAGAGTTTGAAAAATAAACAGGAACCTCGGTGCGCAGTCAACCCCTTTTGTGAGAGCCACTTTTCTTACATGTCGTTTGGCGGAGTCATGAGCGTGGATGGCATCTCTCGTAGCTTATACGTGCAAGTCTGCTCAGTTTTGAAATTTTGACAAACAGTCTTCAGAGCGACATCACACTACTCTGCTCTTACAGTACAATAGCATTTTAGCAAGTTTATAGCGTACAAGACCAGCAGGATTACATTAATATGAGTGCATCAACCTTTTGGAATGATAGATTGTTCTGGTCATGCTTTCAATGCTTATTCCAAATGATTTACCACATTGTCGCTTCTCATTGCCGCACTTAGTCAATTTTTTGCTGTAATTAATAACTCAGGCTGGAAAAGGATCGCTACATAAAATTATGAGCGACGAAAGCAGAGTCAACGCGCCCTCAAACTGCGATTGCGACAATTTGTGGGTACATGTCGCTGAAATTTTTCGGTATTGCAGCTTTAGCGAAGGTGGCTCCTAATAAGGTTATATGACACTTCAGGGCCTGCTGATAATTTTACGCAGCTATAATTGCGATTTAAATGATCCTCTAAGAAGCTCGTTTATATGGCAGAAACACCTTCCAGGACACTGCAAAATATTAGCTTTCCTTCTCTAGATCTGAACTTTCTGAAGTAAACTTGAACCTACCTCAAAAAAGACGTGGTCTTGGCAAATGCATTGCGCACAATGATGGTTTCCTCAACGGTCTTACGCTCAAATTTAAGCTTAGAGAATACAGTTATTCGATAATCGCGTTTTCGTATGTCGAATTTAGAGCCGCGTAAACTTCCCTACAAAGCGTCTTCTGCAATTTCGGTGGGATCCCAGAAACTAGAAGACTTCCTCTACAGATCCATATATGGCAACCCTTAACAGCCCCCTGACACCCTCTTAAAATATGGTATCAACATCAAAGGCGCAAAAAGGAAAAAACTATCCGAATGACCTAATACAATGCGCTGATCAAATCCTTCCATATTTTTAATGGATCTTATTGTGTTAGATTTGGTGCTTTGAGCTCTAGCCACGAAATAGCTTTGATATTCAGTTGAGCAGCTGAAGCAGACGCAAGCACCATATTCAGTGCAGTGGGAGACGTTCAACGAAGCGAACATAATATCTGCAACGAGCGTCATACAAGCGCTCACGGAGGAATTTCGACGAAATATGCGATCTTTACATTTTGGGCA